AAATATATTTATTGTTGATAAGTTTATTTTTAGCTGCATCAGGAAATATTTTTACTATTGGACAAATGTTTAATGGTAAAATGAATCAAATTATTGTTTTATTGTTTTTTTTTTTTGAATAAAATAATATTGAATATGTTCTAGTTGCTGGTCGTGATGGTTTAATGCCACATATATTTTCAATGAAACATCATGAAACTAATGTGCCTACGATTGCAATTTTATGTGAAATTATTCTTAGTTTTATTTTTCTTTTCTTTATGTCGAATATTGGAAAATTGATTATTTGCGTTGGTATGATTAATTGGATATGTAAGTTTTAATTTTTATTAAATTATTAAGATATATTTAAGTATAAAAATATATGAATAGGTATTTTATTGGCTGCTGTTGGTTTAATTGTTCTTCGTTATAAACATCCAAATCGTGAACGACCAATTAAAGTTCCTTTATTTGTTCCAATTATATTTATTTCAATTTTAGTAATACTTATTGTTGCAAGTGCATTAACTGATTTAGAAAATATAAGCACATCTTTACTTTTATTAGCGACAGCTATACCTGCTTATATATTTGGTGTTATGTGGAAAAATAAACCAAGTAATTTTAATCGTCGATACAATTCATTTGCAATTATGTTACAAAAATTATTTCATGTTATACATGATGAGCATAATGAATGAAAAAAAAAGAATCAGGAAATAACTCAACAAGTGCAATTTTTTTTCTAAGTTTAAACCCTTTTTTAATATGTTTATGTAGACCTGTAGTGATGTTTCTTTTATATGAAAGTGAATGCCCTTTTTGTTGTTTCGTTGTTGTCATTAAACTTTTTGTTTCTATATATATTTACATTTATATATATATCTGAGAATGAGAACATGATTCATGAATGAAAACATTATCTAACATTAAGCATATAAGTTTTGGTTTTATTAAAATAGATAAGAAGTAAGTATGGGGTAGTGATTTAATCAGAAAAAAAGTTGTAGGGGAGGCCTCAACTCCCTCTAGCCGCAATATATGTTCCGATTTCTGAGAAAGCAAAATTTTCGAAATTGCCAACACATGAAAAGAGTGTTTCAAGCAGATTTCGGTAATTGCCAAGATGCTAGAAGATTATTTCTAGAAAAGTTTCCAAATTACAAATTCATGAGAGAGAATTTTCTGAAAAACTTAGGAAAATTACTGAAGTATAAAAAAAGAAGTTCAAAGAAATTGAATACTAAATTTCAGTAGTTATTTGTTATTTCTGAAAACTGTTGAAATTTTTAAATACTAATTTAAATATATTATACTATTTTATTGAAAATTTGCGAGGTCTTTATGCTCTAGTTGTTTGCATTTTCAGAAAGTACTAAGAAATTTTGGGCTTATCTATATAAATGCTAAAGAAGTATCCATAATTACAGATATTTCCTCGTCATTTTCTTATAATAACTGAAATTACCGGAAATTCTTATAGTTTTTTTTTTGTAGGTGAACTTTGATATTATTATAGAATAATTACTACATTTATTCATATTAATGCTCAAGAAGTCTTAAAAGTCTCCGTAATTTCCTGGGAGTTTCTGAAATGCTCTAGAAATTTTTCGCTCATGTTTTAGTAATTTCCGATATTTCTTTTCTTGAAAATCTGAACACTACTGGAGTTTCAATGTAAAATGTTACACATTGATTGATCTAATGACTGTAGAATATCCTGAAAATTTCCGCTAAAGCAAAGGTTTTGTTTTTATTGAGATATTGAATATTTAAGTAAACGAAATTATTGTGTCATACTTGTGACAAACGATTATTTGTTGAAAATTCAGTAACTCGACAAAAGAACATTATTTTCGGTTGAAATTTCACAGAAGATCCTATGAATCATTCAGTCTATCTATGATTAAAATTGCATGTCGAAATTTCTGTATACAGCTAAAACTCGATCGAAAACTCAGTAATACAATTCTAACTCAGATCCCAAAACTCACGGAACAAAGTCTTAGATTTTTTTATAGGCTTACCGAGACTCCCGTGTATGTCTAATAAAATCTTCAATGGTAGGAATCAGTTCAAGTAGTTTTCTCCTTAGTTTGACGAATATTTTTATCTCGTATAAGTTATTTTAGATTTCGACTAAAATAAAAACATTTGATAATCTAATACGTCCCAATCTTTTAAGAAAAATAGAATCATATCTATGTCTTAAACATGTTATTGATGAATCAAATGAAAGAAAATGATTTCTAAATTATTTTTAACAGAAAAATAAAAATATTATTTTCGAAAAGTCGAAAACATATATCAGATGAAAATTTTCAAAATATTTCTAATTTTTTGCTGATAAATCATAGTTTCCTATAAAACTATCACTGAAAGATTGTAAGTCAATTTTTGTTGTGCAAAAATGTGTTCTCCTAAATAACTTATCGATGAATAATTTCTTATGATTTTAGTAAAAATATATTTTTCTCACAAATGATAATCATAGGAATAAATGTTTGTTAGCAAAAAAGTCTTTTTTTTCTATAAATTTAAATTATGCTGCCATCTCAATTATTCTATCTTCATGTTAAGGATGTTACCAAGGATATTTAATTCAAAATGAAGGTTAGTCAGCTGTTGAAAACATTCACCTACTTCAATCGCTATTACTCTTTGTCGTTACATTTCAATTAAGAAAACAGGAACATAAAAAACAATTGAGGCCGTTTCTTTTTCTTATTCTTTATACATTGACGTTGTATAATTTAAATAAAATATTTCTTTTTCCGTTCTATTGTTTTTTTGTTTTTGTTGCTTTCAGTTTTTGATGGTGCTGCTGCATAGCATCATAAGTATTGATGGCGGCGACAACATGTGGTTATGAAGCAATGCGTAGTGGTGATGCTATTTTATTCTATATTAATCGTGATGGCCTTCCTTTATCAGATCGATGCACTGAACGTATGTGGACTTTTTGTATGGAACAATATCCTAAAAGTAAGTTTATCTGAATAATAGGTTTGTATTACTTAAATTTAGATTTCTTTTTTTGTAAATCTAGATCTAAATTAAATATCTTGTTCTTTTGATTGAAACAAATAGTTCAAACAAATGCTAATCACATATAAAAGAAATTTCTTCAAAACTATATTGTTCTTTTTAATAGAAAATAAAACTTTTGGTTCAAAAAACTTATTGTTACTTTTTAAAGTAAATATTTCTGGCAAGGACTGAGTTTGTAATGTTTCTTCAAAAAGTTTTCAATCAAGCATAAATATTCTTATTTTAATTGTAACACTTGAAACGAAAAACGAATTCTTCATGTTTCAACTTCAATAGCTCTATTAGAAGGATTCTATTCTTTCAATAAACTTTCTACACAGCAACAGAAGAGAAAACAGTTTTATATGAAAATATTTCAAAACAAGGTCACAATTCTTCTATTGTGTTTTTTTTTGGCATGCAAAAAAAAACAAATACTGTAGCTTTGTAGTATTTTATCAAATAAATATAGTCGAGCAAGGCCGAAAAGATTTCGATTGTACATAATATTAGAATATAAACACTCTTTGTATAAATAACAGGTACCGTATATTGACAGGATTGCATGAGAAAATTTAAGTATTTGAATATTCAAGAAAAAATATTATTGACCTTAGTGAGCACGAAACAAACGAGAAAATCTGATCATCATGAATGAAGTTAATTATATCTCAATTTGTTTTTGTTTTATTAATAAAAAGAAAAGAAATTTCATTTTTTCTTAAGATGCATTAGAAATAAAAACAATTCGTGATCGAATTAGTGATTATCCTCAAATAGCATACGTCGATCCGCCTTACCATGTAGCAACAAATCCTCGTTTAACTTTGCAAGAAAAATTACAACAAATAGAAACATATATTCAACGTCTTGAATATAATTATACTGGTATGCAATTTTTCGATCTTAATTCAAATCGTCCAATATCTGGTTTAATGGATACGGCTAGACATATGTAAGAAATTTAAATAAAACGACAAAAATCTCAGCATTTAATTTTTGTTTTTCAAATTTTCATTTTTTTTTTATTTGTTTTTAGAATGACAGAATCATTACCAATAAAATGTTTTGAAGCATTTTTAATTGCTATTTATTTAACAACAGGTATTGTAGGTCTTGAACGTTTTAATATATCATTTAAAACACGTTTTAACTCAACCGTTTATCGTCATATTGTTCTTGGTATTAAATACGGTCAAATGTATGGTGCATTAGGTTTAAGTCGTCGTACTGATCTTGCATATAAACCATTAAATGGTAAATATGAACGTTTATCAACATTAATTGATGATTATTTACAAGCATATAAAAATTATGGTCATACTGTCTTACGTGTTAAAATTGGTTTACCAATAATGCATGATTTGAAATCATATTTAACAATAAATTGGAAAGCAATTGTTATTCTACCAAATAAAACTGATAAAATTGAATATGAACGTGAATTAGATAAAGTTGTTCGTATATGGAGACAAATGAGTATTTATATGTCATATCGATCAAATGTTCCATTAGCATCAACAGTACAACCAACAAATACACTTGTTACAGCAGCATCATTACCAAATCGTTTACAGTCATTATCATTTCGATCAAACCGTGAAGCGTCATTAACTTGTCGTCGATCCGCTATCAAGAAAACAACAACAACCGATGACAATCATACAACTGATAGAGATCAATCTCTTCCTTGTGCGATTCGAGTATAATTTAATTTTTTTTTTATAAAGAAAAAAAGAGCAACAAACCAAAGAAAAAAGAATTCAATACACATGAAGACAGAGGTATAAAGGTATGTTTAATATGTATATATATATATATATGTATATATATATATGTATATATATATATACGCGGCTAGTAAAAATAACTAAAGGAAACACATTGACAAAACATACAGATTTCACTTCGAGAAAAAAAAGTTTAATAAGATTTCGATCATTATATCGTTCATTTTGAAATTTTCAATAAGTTTTGTACATTTGTTTTTACATGGGTTTTGTCGAAGATACTCCCTGATTGTTATACATAGCATCTTCATACGGTGGTGGACCGCCTAAAATTATAAATAAAATTTTTATTAAAATTTCTTCTTTTAAGATGTTAAAGTATAGTGGTGGAAGTGTTCTCTTGATGATAACAGCTAGCAAGAATTTGAAAAGATCCTCTATTAGGATTGATAGACTTGAAGACTTCAGCAAAAATGTTTGGATGAGAGTTTGCTTAAACTTAACACTCTCAAAAGCAGCTTTCTGGCTTTCATTCGAAGCTTTTCAAAAAGAACATAATGATTCTGAGCAAGATGAGACGTCATCGACCACTCGATAACTTTTCTTTATCGCACTGTATTCAATTTTGTGGAGAATTCCAAAGCGTCAAACATGACAAAAATATCATAATTTTCAATAAGAAAAAGAGAAAAATACTTCTTGAGTCTTCTGTAAATTGAATGGAGTTCGATGAAGAAAGATTATTGAAAAGTGGAAAACGTCTTATCATGCTTAGAATCATTTGCTCTATCAAGTAAAATTCATTCAAGCACTTTTGTTAAATTTTTTGGAGTCTATTAATTCTGATAGAGAACACTTTTTACTATACAAATGTTTTTTTCCACATTTTTGCTAGTTATTAGCGTTGAGGAGAAAACCCAAAAAATATAGCTGTTCTAGAGTTTTGTCCGCCACTATAGTATAAAACCCTTTTCATATAAATATATATAATTCTTATTTGCATTTGTCAGTGATCCATTTCTATTTCTTTTTTTTTTATTATTATATTTTTCATAATTGATTTCATGTTTCTATCGAAAGCAAAATTGAGTTTGATTGACATGCTTTCATTCGATTGCCACACGGCAGTAATGTTATTAATTGAAATGGAATAGCGAACCCGTGAATAACCTCATTCTCTAAAGCTAACAGATGATCATTCACGCAAATACTGTAGATAAAAGCTCTAGTTCAATTATCTAACTAATAGTAACTAGCTGCTGAAAAGTTCTGTCTTTTTTTTGTGAAACAATTCATCATAATGTAAAAAAAAGAAAATTATGGAAGGAAATTTTACCGAAAAGGAATTTTAGACACATACATATGAAATTTAAATAAGTCGATGTTTTTCCTAGACATATATATCAGATTCTATTTCATGTATACAAGACTAATAAATTATTAATAATAAACATTTACGGTGAAAATTAATATAAAAAATCTATAACAGATATTTTTATTCATGATTTCCATTAGTATCATGTTTTTTCTATTTAAAGAAAATAATATAAGATCTGTGTGTTTTTTACCTTCTTTAACTGAATACGGATTATATGCTTGTTGTTGAGGTGGATATGGCATTTGTTGTTGAGGTGAATATGGCATTTGTTGTTGAGGTGGATATGACATGTGTTGCTGAGGTGGATATGACATGTGTTGCTGAGGTGGATACGACGTTTGATATTGTTGTGGATAAGAATTAAGATTGCCATCATAATTTTGCGGTGGACCTGCATATGGATTCCCAGTTGGTGGCGGTGGATAACCCATTGGTGGTGGTGGTGGATGATAAAAAGGTACTCCCTGTTGTTCATCAATTGTTGGTTCCATTGGAACCATTACAACAGCTTCTATAAAACAAAAATTAAAAAAGAGTTTAAGTTAGAAGAAAAAAAAATACACTGATAAAAATCAATACTTTGTTTTTGTCGACGATGTCTTGAAAAAAGGACAATGGCAATAGCAATCATTATTATAAGCAGAAGTATCCAACCAAAACTCGAAGCACCACGAAAAGTGCCACTAAATAAATCAATTTTATTATGATAAAAAAAGTTTTTTCTTTTTCTTTTTTTTATTAATTCATTAGAAAAACAAACCTATTTTCTTCACGAATACAACAAAATTGCTTTTCATATTCACCACAACAATATTTTGCTTCATGTGGAAATCCGTTCAATGGACAACGAAATCGTCCAAATCGTGTACCATTCATATCTTCATTATTTATACAAGTTTCTCCAGCTACATAAAAAGTATTAAAAAACAAATTTATTATTATATTTACATTGACTCTCAAACTTATTTTATCAGGGTTTATTTTCAATTTTTTCTTTTTCCGTTGCTGTAAACGATTGTAATAAGAAGAATGCAAATAGCAATTTGAATAGAGAGATTTATTTCTAACAAAAAGTTTAGATGATGAGAATGATTGCTAGTTTCTCTGAAAAACTAAAAACCAATTTTATCAATTTCTAGAATTCTTTTTCAATTCTAGAAATTAATAGAGCAAATAATTCTCTAGAAAATAGATCAATACAATGTTTTTTCATCGAATCATATCAATTTCATGAAAGACACTTACATGGTGTGTCCATAAGAAGCATAAAAACAAAGTTGATTATTGTTTCTTTCGTAAGATTGATGGATCTCGATGACAAAAATATTTTATAGACTTATCTTGTAGAGAATTGTTTGTTCTATCATTTAGGATAATTTAAAGATAATTGTATTAGCTGAAAAACTTGGCTTTTAGTCTACACATGTCATTATTTCGACTCTTCTTAACATTTACAAGAGCGGAAAAAGAATTGCAAATCAAGCAGATTAAAATAATTTTAAGCACCATTCTATGTACAATACTTACTTCCATAGCCCGGCTCATAATATCCAGGTCTTGTATGATACGATGATGACATCGATCTCATTAACGAGTATGCTGCTATACCACCTAATGCTCCAGCTCCAAAACTCGCAGCGTGACTTTTAAATTTACTTCCTGAACGACTAAAAATGAAGAAAAAAAAAATGATGAAAAAAAAAATTGGTGATATTACTTACGGTTTATTCATACTATTGTAACTTCCATAACTATTGCCACGATTATAACTTGATGATCCACCGAATGTTCCTGCACCTTTTGAACCACCCCAAGATCCTCCACCTCTACCACTTCCACCTCTACCACCTCCACCTCTTCCACCACCAAATCCTTTACCATCGGTAGATGATGAAAATAAATCTAAATATAAATTTTAAAAAAAAATTAAATAAAATTTTATCATTTAATTATTATTTTAATCTTACATGAGATAATAAATAGAATATAAAACCATCGAATTAGATGATTATCTCGCATTTTGTCAAAAATAAAACAAAATCTGAAATGCAATAAAATGCGTTTACGTGTATTCATTAATTTTTAGTAAACCTGAGTGTATAGATACAATATATATATATTAACGTCAATGAAAAAACGAAAAACAAAGTTATACAAATTAATGTTAATAAATCGACGCAAACCTCTTTTTTTCTAACAATAAACCATGCTATAATTATACACCGTGTAAGCCTTTTACAGCTTCTGCATATGGTGGAGGAGCTAAAAAATATTTTAAAAAAATTATGGAAATATTTATTTGGAAATAACTTACACTCCGAAGGTATATCATTTGTCGCTCGATTGGCGGTCTGTGGCTGTTGAATACCAGTTCTGTTGTTTATTTCTAAGAAAATAAATAAGAAATATAACTAGCATATCAATTTATTTTCCAATGTTCGAAAAAAAATCAAGTAAAACAATGTGTTAAGATGGTTGTTTTTTTTGTTTTTCAGTAGCATTGCATATGTTAGCAATTGTTAATAAAAAAAACTACATACGTTGATCATCTACTTGACTGGTAGTGGCATAGCTAGGGCCTAAATATTAAACCGAAGTCTAACTAAATAATTACAAACTATGATTAGAATTTCAGGTAAAAAATATTTCAATATATATTTTTCTTTGTTATCTACCTTAAATTCTATCACAATCACCAAAATTACGTGTTTCAAATTGTTGACAATGATTCACATATCTTACATACAATGAAGCTGATGAGAAAATTCTCTATGAAATAATTCTTTTGTATTGTTTCTTTTTTTAATGTTATTGATCTCAATGTTTTTCCGTCGTCTTTTTTGTTTCTTTTTCTTTTTATAACGAATAAAATCAATACTCAGAGATATACTAACCTTTTCGTTCTAAATAACGACGATAATAGACAATACAGCAAGCAATAAGCAAAACGAAAAGACTACATGCTGAAATAATACCGATGATGGCACCAATCGCTCGACCACCACTAAAAAAATAACCATAACAAAAATAGTGAATTGAATTCTTCAAAAAAAGAAAAACAAGTTTTTTCTCTTCTTGTTTATAATCATAATAAAAGATAGAAAAAAAATCATGTTTTAACTATGAAATTATGTAAAACTTTAGCTATTAAAATAATGAAATAGAATCTATTCATAAGGTATTTTTCTTTCCATTGTAATCTCATATTAAATTAACTTTTCAAATTTATCATCTTTTTTTTTAAATTTAATTTCTTAAATGAAATACTCTGTCTGAAATATAGTAAAACTATTCAGCAAAAAAGAAAAAGACATACAGCATGATGATTGAAATATAATCAATATAAATTTATTTGTCTGTAGTATCTCGTATAAATTCTCTGATTATTTACAAGCCATACGTCTACAATGTATAGACAAAAAGTAAAGATTGATCAGGTAATGTTTATCAAAAACGTTAAATGTAAAAAGATTGAGATAGGAAAAACAAGTCATTTTTGTGTATTAAAGTTGTTTTTTTTTCCGTTGATCAAGACTCATTTAGACAGCTTGTAAAATTACCATTATAATGTAGGGACGAAAGAAAAAGAATAGAATCAGAAAGAAAAAGAAAATACGAGAAGACATACATTGCTTGTCAACAACGAAAAAAAGATCCAAAAACAGAAGAGAAAGAAAAAACGAGCAATAGAAATAAGAAAGAAAAACATAATACCGTTCCTAGAAGGAAGAGTATTGATATGTGTCGCAATGACCCTTAACAGAAACAATCATTGGTTGAAAAAATAGACGATATATGTCGCTGAACATCATTGAAAACAAAATTGAAACAGTTACACATAGTTTCGGTATGTAACATTTAGAAAACAAATATTGAATTAAGAGAAAAATCGATCTATACCTGGGATATGTTCTTTATCAGTATGAAAAACAAAATTAATGTCTAAGAAAAAAACTGCCTATTCATTAAAAAAGACTTTACAAATCAAAGTGTATGCATTTGCTTTATGGAAAACTGACAGTTGTCTATCTGGATAATAAAAAAAAAAACAAATATTTGTTAGAATATTACTATCTATTTACTTCACTCAATCAATGAAAGAAAAAGAAAACAAGATCAACATTTTTCGTCTTATTCATGTTTTATTAGAATCACTATGAATGAATGCGACTAAAAATCTTTTCAAATAGATTTTATTATTAAATAAAACGAACATATCAACATTACTATTAAGCAAATTTATATGGTTTTAGATAAGAAAAGAATAATTAGGTAAATCGAAAAAAACAAACAAATTAAAAATATAAACGTTTTATTTGATACATATTCTCGACAGAATAATTATTAGGGATTAAGCTTCACCTTTATTTGCATAATAAATGATAAGGGGTAATTTATCTGCTTATCCGTACTCTTTATAATAAATCGCTATGTCTGCATAGAACAATACTAGCAATAAAAAACTAAATAGATTTATATAGCTATATATATTTCTATTTAGAATGAATGGAAGTTTTTTTCATTCTAGAATCTACTACATTAAATAAGATTCAGCAATGTTATTCTAAGCTTTAAGAATTCTTTTTTGTGCGGAAATCTGGACCCAATCAAATGACGTCATTATCTATTATAAAACACTCATTTCAACTTACATTACTATACTATGTGTTTTTCAAGAGAAACGATGTTTATGAGTCATTCCTAATTCCGCATCCCATTTATGTCTTTTCTACTTATCATAAGAGATGTTCATCTTATTCATTGACGAATGTCATTATATGTTACTCATGCCTATAATGAAGGATTATTCATGATTTAATAAGCAAATTTATAAAAAATAAATTCTTTATAAAAACAAAGTGATTTTTACATAAAATAATAATTAGCGACATCTAATTTATCGTTTTAGAAAACTTTTTTTGGAAATATTCAATCTGAAAAGATGATTATTAAATTCTATTTAAAAACAAAATGATATATAAATAAAATTGTTTATTGATCAATTTATTGTGTCAACTACTAATGTTTATTTATTTATTTACTTGAAGAATGTCAATTGATTAGCGTAGGCGTCTATAGCAGAAACCTCAATTCCATATTGTCTTAATGCTTGTTGCTACAATAGGGTTCCTGTTCTTATTTACTAATATGTAGCATCTGATAGTATGTTTTTTTTTTCTGGATAATTGGTTTATAGAAAATATGTTTATCTGCCTGTTCGAACAAGTAGATTTTAAAGATATAATTATTGCATTAAAACCTAACGCTATAGTATAGGATTATAATTTAACGAAATTAAAATAATATCCTAAACGATATATTCAATATTTTAAACTTGACGAACCATACTTGTAGGAAAAAAATTAAAAAATGACATTTTTTTTCTACAAGAATTACAATGTCGTTTATTTATATCTGTTTATTTACTTGGCAATTAAAATAAATAAGGACGATACGGAAGACAAAAAACAGATGGAACTATTATATAAAATAAAGCCTTGTCGCATATCTGAATCTATATCATATAACACTAATTGAAAGTCAAGTACCATTGATCAATAAATATTCGTTTGAAGTTGAATTCATAGGTTTATTAAAAAATGTTCTTATTCAACACTCTCAATAAGACCTATAAGATGAAGAATTAATCGCGTGTTCTTAAGGATTTTTTTCTCTCTTCATCGCTTCTTTTTATTCTATATAATAAACTGACTTGGCATTTTGTCGAAGAGAAAGAGTTGATGTATCTTGTTGTGTCGGGGATTTTTTTTTCATGTAAATATAGATGAAGAAAGGAGAGGAGGCGGAAATACTTGACTGCGGCTGAAAAAGAGATGATAGAAGAACAGCAACAGAAAAAAAGAAAGAATGTGGTTTGTTTCTAGCAATACAAATAAGAACGTCTGTCAGTTCTAGTGCTACAATAATCTTCGTTTTTTTTCTCCTTGCTATCGCGCAATTTTTTTTTCTTGAGCAAATATTTCTTCATCTCTCTTTTATTGTTATTTTGTATAACAATAGCTTTCAGTTGGCACGACCACATCTATGTTTCTTATCTAAATTTCAATGGTTCTCTACAAGGAAATCACTAAAGAGGTAAGTTGCCACAAGAGATCAAACTCGTGAAATCAATGAAGTCTTTTTGTCTCATGAGATGTTAAGTTTCGGTTTTTTTGGTTTAAGTATTTAAGAATTTTAACAGTTAGTTTTCATATGTAAATCAGAGATCGATTCCTCTTCAAAATATTATGCGTCATTTTGACATGACTTAAACCTCCATATCGTTAATTATCCTATAATCCGATTAATGATATTAACTGACACTTGACATCTAATCGAAATCAGATGAAAATTTGTTATAAATCATGAACAATTATTACAATTTTCTCTATCATAAATAAATATATTGATGATTATTATTATTATTAATTATGTATTATAAAGTAATCTCTTTTTATCCTTTATCTGTACGTTTTTCTTTTCATTGGCAATCAATGTGATACTTATATACTAGCACAACTGTTCTTTGTGAGTTATATCATGGACGACAATAGTTAAATAACAATTCCTTAATCAAACAAGAATTAATGCATTAAAAGTATATTTTCTGCTCATGTTATCATGAACATTTAAATTATTTAAATAGATGAAAAGAAAAACATTTTGAAAAAATTAATTATACTTGAAAATAATAATTAATTAATAGATAAAAATATTTTAAAATACATAATTAGAAAAAGAAATAGAATCAAAATTGTAATATTATAAAATTGAAATAGTTTATATTGTCTTTTTTCTCTTTTTTTTTATGGATTATTTTAGCTACAGGTTTTACTATTCTTTTTATGTGAGTCATACACGTGTTGTTGTTTTTCACCTGACTGAAAAATAAAAGAAAGTTTATGTGAATCATAAGTTTAATTTCTTTTGGGGAAAAAATACACCTTATAAAAACACGTCTACTCGACATTGACGACGTCATTTCATCAGTAATACCAGGGTAGACATTTACTAAGTGT